GCAGGAAGAGGTACTTCAGAATCAATTAGTGTATTGAAAAGTTCACCCACATAATTTTTTATTTATTTTCCACTCTTTGGCTTCTTTATTATATCTCTATTCCCCAAATCAGTTTACTGCCGAAGCACAATTGTCTCATAGCCGGAATAATACTTCATCAAATACAATTTTTTATACATTATCTCAAATTCAGCATGTCATCTTCTCTATAAAAGCACATAAACTATTATTCAAAATCTGTAATAATTTATGATAAACAGTAAGTGCTTAGAATATATTATAGCTTAACATTAGGTATTGTTTTACTAATACACGGCTCCCTATAGTTGCATAAAAATATAATTTATCTTTTAAAATTCTTTCAAAGAAAGATTTGGCTTGGATGATTGGCCTGTTAAGATGTAGCATAGCCCTAACTGGTTTGGCTCAGTGGATAGAGCGTTAGCCTGTGGACTGAAAGGTCCCAGGTTCGATTTCCGATCAAGGGCATATACCTTGGTTGCGGGCACATACCCAGTGGGAGGTGTGCAAGAGGCACCTGATTGATGTTTCTCTCTCATTGATGTTTCTAACTCTCTATCCCTTGTCCTCTCTGTAAAAAAATGAATAAAATACATTAAAAAAAAGATGTAGCATAAAGGAATAAAATTTTTTCTTAATGCTTTCCATATTTATGTATTTTTTTTACTTTGAAAAGTAATATGTTCAGTATATTTGTTTCTTTCTAATTTTTTGCTGTGTGATTTTTATGTGGTATTTGTCTATATCATGTTTATTAATTAATGCCATAGCCTTAAATTTAATATTTTTGTCATTTAACTGTATTTTGTAAATATAGCATGCCCAAATAGTGGTTCTCTGGAAATTACATATGAATATTGGAAGATTTGGGAAGATAAAATCAATTGGAATTTAAAGGAGATGTACTAATTAGGCATATAAAATCTCTGTACAGTTTAATAGTGACCTTAAACAAAAGCTGTTGAATAAATGGTAGTGACTTCCTCTTCTCCATTTCTACCAAAAATACAACATTGGAAAGTTTTTATGTTGCTAACAGAAAGTCCCCAAATAAGTTGTGATTTCTCATAACCTCTATACCAACCACAGAAATGGGGTTTTATTGTCCGAATCAGCCACTTGAAAGAATGGGAACCCTTGAGTTTCCAGGGCAGTGTGGCCAGGAGCATGTTTCCTGAAGTCAGAGGGACCTGGGCAAGTCCTGGTTCCACCACTAAATGAGCTATACACAACCTTTAGAAAGTTACTTATCCTCGCTAAGTCTCTTAGCAAGGTTATCTATAAAATTAGGGTTATTATAGTCTCTACTTCATATGTCAGGATTAAATGAAATAATGCTTGCATTATTAGTACTAAAATAACATTATTATATGTGTTTGGACATCTGTGGATATTATTCTGGAGAATGGTCCATTATGAAAGATGCTTTTTAAGTGTTCTCAAAAATCTTTTGAAAGAGGGGTCAGTTCTCCCTTAAAGCTTCTCGAAGTAAACACTCGTCTAATGAGTGTATCAAATTAGTTGTAGAATGTTCATTAGGAAAGTTTTAAGATTTGATTTTATTGATTTCAGAGAGAGGAAGGAAGAGGGAGAGACAGAAACATCAAAGATGAAAGAGAGCCCTAACTGGTTTGGCTCAGTGGGTAGAGCGTCGGTCTGCGGACTGAAAGGTCCCAGGTTCAATTCCGGTCAAGGGCATGTACCTTGGTTGCGGGCACATCCCCAGTAGGACGTGTACAGGAGGCGGCTGATCGATGTTTCTCTCTCATCGTTGTTTCTGACTCTCTCTTCCTTTCTGTAAAAAATCAATAAAATATATTTTAAAAAAAAAGATGAAAGAGAATTGTTGATCAGCTGCCTTCTGAACGCCCCCCCCCCACTAGGAATTGAGCCCACAACCACCTCATTCCCCCCATCCCCCAGGCATGTACCCTGACCGGGAATTGAACTGTGATCTCTTGGCTTATAGGTCAATGCTCAACCACTTAAACACACCTGCCAGGCCAGCAAAGCTTTAGATTAGGGGTGGGGAAACTTTTTTTCTGCCAAGGGCCATTTGGATTTTATAACATCATTCACAGGCCATACAAAATTATCAACTTAAAAATTAGACTGCTCTATTTGGTCAATCATTTAACTCATCCCTAATGCCTTGGCAGAGCCAGACCAAATGATTGTTCAGGCCTTATATGGCCTGCAGGCTGGATGTTCCCACCCCTGCTTTAAATGATAGATTAAGGATACTGAATCAGGGAAGTCCATCTTGCCACTGTATCCAGAGTGGAGGAACCCTGTGTGGTTGGCAGGACAGTTCATTTTTGGATCCTACCCTTTTCAGGGTTATGGGATCACTACTGCCTTCAAAATAACATTAGAGTGTCATTCATGGCCTTCTAGGATCTGATCACAACCCATTCTTCTTTAACAATCCTATCTAATAATAGAGAAACATGGTAATTAACCGTAACTTCGCTACCCTTCCCATTGGCTAATCAGCAAGATATGCAAATTAACTGCCAACCAAGATGGCGGCCGGCAACCAGGCAGCTGAAGCAAACAGGAGGCTTGCTTGCTTCAGTGATAGAGGAAGCCAAGGTTCCCCGTCTGCCGCTGCCGGCCTCTGAGCTTGCACTCTAAGCAACTATGTTGCAATTATAGGAGCTAAACAATCCCCAGAAACCTGCTTTCACCCGTCAGAGCTGGAGCGAGCAGGACCGCAACAGTGTTATAATTATAGAACCCAAAAAAACGCAGATACCTGCTTTCAGCAGCTGAGGTCTCAGAACTGGAGCCGATCCTCAGAGCTAAAACCAGCTCTCAGCTCCAGTTACAGCCGTAGAAGGTACATAAATCCCAGAATACAAAAAAAAAAAGAAAAAAAGGA